GTTCCATGTTCTGCATGTTCTGTGTTCAGCAGGCTCTGCATTCTGCAGGTTGTTCTGCATTCTGCATGCTGTTCTTCGTTCTGCAGTCTGTAGTCTGCATGTTGTTCTGCATTTTGCACATTTCACAGAAATGGAACATGTTAACAGATCGTGTTTCTTTTTTTTGCCCTTGACTCCACAAGATCAGATTTATGTGATTATTCTAGAGAATCCAACCACTTCAGTTTCCTCTCCCAAACAGAAAAATATATATAGAATACTGTGTGTTAATGTAGGCAGGAGGAAAAAAATTAAGTGCAAGAACGCAGCTGAAAGAAAGGACACCGCACATGACCAGGAGAAAGAAAACAGTCGGCCTTAGGAGTTCAAAGCCGGGTTGCACAACTGATGCAATGCCCAGCACTTCAATTGCAGCATGGTTTGCAACAGCATGTACAAGTGCAGCAGGGGGCAGGGGGTGCAGAGGGAGCGGCACAGGTGGACACCGGTACCAGCACGATCCGGCCACAGCAGCACTGGCTAAGTTGGACAGGGATACAGGTGTAAGTTTGGGTTTGGCACGGTTCAGGGGCAGGAGCACAGCTCTTTGTGTCTTGACACGGCTTTGTGCAATCGCAGCTCTGGGTGGTCACGACGCAGGTGGCTGTTTGGCAAGAACAGGCTGGTTTTGACTCACACGAGCTGACGCACACAACCGGGCAGGGACTGCTACACGGTGAGGTGCACGAACCTGCCGAGGCCTTGGTATCGGCGCATGAGTTTTGGCAGGAGGGGGGACACTTGGTCACTTTCACGGGCTCAGAAACACAAATGCAGGAGCAGGGTGGGCTGCATGGTGTCTGAGCAGGAGCAGATTTTACACAAACAGTAGGACACGAACATGGCTGCTTGCACTGGTACGACATCGGAGGTTGACCTACAGGATGGAGGACAGGAAAAAGAAATGTGAGGATTCAATGGGTCTTCATCTGAATTGAATCGCTCCCAAACTCCAGAAAGCCACTCCAAACTCAACCACGACCCATCTCTCTCCATCAATGGTTTGGAGATACCCACCCAGGATCATAAGAAGGATTCAACAGTGGAGAACTATCTCCCATGTCCCACCACCCACCTAACCTTGGACATCCTTAGAACCCAGGAAGACCAAGGAATGGGTCTTCCTCCAAACCGAATCCCTCCTAGACTCCAGAAAGCTA